AATTCTGCTCTGCTGTAGATGAGTGGATTGAGCGAGGCTGGCTGGTGAAGCACGACGCTGAGACCCATGGTCGCCCTGCCTGTGTCTTGCCATTGATGGCTGTGAGTCAGCCGCACAAGACGTCTACACCTGTGCGTCCGGTGTTAGATTATCGCCACCTGAATAAGCTGTTGGTGTCCCACCCTGGCACTAAGTCGCCTGTGTGCGCCGAGACGTTGCGCCAGTGGAGGCTCAAGGGTGAAGCTGATGAATTTGAGTTAGTGGACATTACCAAGGCGTACTTGCAAATCCATGTCAGCCCGGAATTGCTACGGTTCCAAGTTGTCGAGTGGCGTGGTGTTCGCTACGTGATGACGCGCATGGCGTTTGGCCTGAGTGTGGCGCCGAAGTTCATGGACACCATCATCAAGTACGCTACCGGCAGCTTGCCCGATACAGATAACTATGTCGACGACATCATTGTCCCCAAGAGTCAACGGACTGTGTTGACAGAACAGCTCGCTAGCTACAGCCTGCCAACTAAGCCTGCTTTGGAGATGTCGGCTGCACGGGTTCTAGGACTGCAGCTCAACGAGTCTGATGATGGTCGAGTGCGCTGGTCCCGGCGTGATGAGTCGCATGTCGCATTTGCTGATGTCACGACGAAACGTGAGCTCTACAAGTGGTGTGGCCAGTTGACGAGCCACTACCCTGTTGCGTCATGGCTTCGTCCTCATTGTAGTTGGCTGAAGCGTTTGGCATGTCTGGAGAAGCTTGGCTGGGACGACCCGTTGCCTGCAGATCTCGTTCAGCGCTGCATGAGTCTCGCCTGCCGTTTAAGCCAGCACGATCCTGCTACCGGTGTGTGGCACGTAGACCCCAACGGTGAAAGCCAATGCCAGGTGTGGTGCGATGCGTCTGATATTGCTGTCGGCGTGGCGTTGGAGGTCGGTGGTGACATCGTCGAGGATGGTTCGTGGCTTCGTAAGCCTGACGACAAGCGGCATATTAACATTGCTGAATTGGAAGCCGCTGTCGAAGGCATTTCCCTTGCCGCTAAGTGGGGTGTTTCCCGTTTCAAGCTGTTGACTGACTCTAAGACAGTGGCAGCATGGCTGACGCAAGTAGTAACCAACTCCAAACGTGTGAAGACTGGTGGTCTGCAAGAGCTGCTTGTGCGTCGTCGCCTCCAGATCATCGATGATCTCATCGCTACGCTAGGTCTGACGATCGAGGTCGTGTGGATTCCGACGAACGAGAACCGTGCTGATCAGCTGACGCGTGTCCCGACTGACTGGATCAAGTATGCAAAGGCTCTTGCACCGACTGATGTTGTGGCAGCCTGCCTGTCTGTGGTTGGCCCTGTCACGTTTGCTCAGATACGTGAAGGCCAGAAGGTGGATCCCACCATTCGAGCTGCTGTTGCTCAATTGGAGTGTGGTGAGTTGGTCTCCATTCCTGAGTTCATAAAGGTGCGTGATCAATTGCTTGTTGATGATGGTATGTTAGTGCGTAGTATCAAGTTGCCTATTGATGGTTTGGTGTCTGTGCCAGTTATTCCTACGTCTTTGCAACATGCTGTCGTCTCTTCTGTTCATGTGAATTCTGGCCATGGTAATTGGCGAATGATGTATGATCTGCTTCGTTCTAAGTGCTATTTCCCTTGTATGTCGTCGTTGTGCCTTGAGTTTGTCCGGCAATGTCAAGCTTGTGTTTCCGCCAGTAGTAAGAGTGGTCCGACGGCTGATCCCGCTCGCCCAGATTTGCCCGGTAAGCCTTGGCAGGAGATTGTTATTGATACTCTTGAACTTGGTTCTGACCGCAGTGGGCGTTTTCATTGTGTTCTTGTGATTGTTGATGTGTTTACTAAATGGGTCGAGGTTGTTCCCCTACGTGATGGTCAGTCAGTTGCTGAAGCTGTGACCGATGTTTGTTTGAAGTGGGGCTCCCCAGAAGTTGTTCGTATGGACAATGGTACTGAATTTGTGAATGGCATTGTCGAGTCATTGTTTCGTGTGTTTGGCACGAAGGTGCGTACTGGTGCAGTTAGGCATCCCCAGTCTCAGGGTTCTGCTGAGCGATTTAATCGCACTTTGTTGACCCTCATTCGCAAGATGCTCGACTCCTCGAGTGATTGGAAGTCTGAGTTGCCTGTGCTGTTGCACTACTACCGTACGCGACTCCATGCCGCGATTGGTGTGTCCCCAATGGAAGCTATGTGTGGATGGCTTCCACGTCAGTTAATTGTTGACGAGTCTGCTGTTGGTTCTAGCCTTAGTGATTGGGTGGACAGCCTTGCTGGTCGGTCCGCTCGTATTCGTGACTTTGTCGAAGCTGAGTTGTCGTCTCATGATTTTGTTGAGGGCAGCGCTTCCAATCCATATGCTGTCGGTGATGCTGTGTTGCTCCGTCACCCCGCTCGTTCGCAGAAGCGCTTGCCACCGTTCGAAGCTGGGTGGAAGGTCACCGAGATCCTTGGTCCTGGTTCCGTGCGTATGTGTCGTTCTGTGGATGGCTTTGATCAACAAAAGACTGTTAACATTCAGTTGATTAAACCTGCTGCTGAATCTGTGTTGTCGTGTGAGTCTGGATCTGTGCCTGCGTCGCCTGTGCAGTGTAATCTCGATGTTGAGCCGTTGGCTGTCGCCGATCGTAGTCTGCGTAACCGTCGTCATATCCAACGCCCGAGTCGTTACATCGATTGACACTGTGTTACCTGGGGGACTGGTGTAAATATAGAGATAACACTGTGGTAAATCGACTGCTTTTATTGTTACACTAGTTCTGACGATATTAGTTATTTGATTGTATTCTTACTTTGTAGCTGCGTCCAGGCTCGTTGGAATTCTCATCACGGACTCCATTCTAGTTTCGAAGAGATATATATTCTTGTCCAATTGTTCTCAACAAATTCCTCGTCGTGTGCATTTGTTCTCAAACAAATTCTTCGTAGTATTTGCAGTACGTAGTCTCGCGCTCTTTGATTTGTTTGACTCGCGCGTGACTTTCCTTTCTTTTCTTTTTGTCATGTATGACGTATCGGTATGACGTGAGTGTGTACGCACTCTGTTTATGACCACGTGACTGCATGCTCACGTGGAACTACAGTCAGTAGGCTAGTGCATTTTAGCGACTGCAGCGATCCGATCTTCTTGCTGCAGCGCTGTTTCTTCTTCACTTGTGTCTTTTCTTTGGTCGCTGCACTAGTTTGTGATTACCATGATTACGCGTCAATGGACGACATGGTCGCCATTTTGTGCATGTCCTTTTTCCTGATGGATCTTGGATCTCGTGGAAAAAGAACAGTTTTCTTTTCTCCCAACTTTACCACTATTTCAATATTTCAACTCTCTTGATTCCTTGTTGATAGTTGTGGCTCAGTGCATGTGCGAGTGTGCTGGAGTGCTAGCTGGAAGAGATAGAGAGCATAGTGGTGGAGTAACAGCACCAGCAAACAAGTTGAAAAGGACTGGTGCCATTGTACACCCTTGGCGCAATCCGTTGCACACTGGGAAGCCTTCAGTGGGGGAACCATTAACGATGATCGTGGCTGTCATGTTGTCGTGAAAAGACTTCAGAAGGCTGACCAGTTGCTCCGGGACTCCCAGCTTCAGCAGGACAATCCACAGTGCAGCACGCGGAACAGAATCGTATGCCTTCCTCAAATCGACAAACACCAGGAATCCCTTGGATTGGTGCTCGTGACACTTCTCCACAACCTGGCGAACAACAAACGTCATGTCCGTGCAGGAGCGACCTTTCCGGAAACCACACTGTGATTCAGGCAGCACACTTTCGGCGACTTTCTGCAATCGGTTTTGCAGCAGGCGTCCGAACAGCTTGCCAATGACGTCGAGGAGTGCGATGCCACGCCAGTTGTCGCAGCTAGTGAGGTCACCCTTCTTGGGTATCGGTATTATCTCAGCATTCACCCAATCTTGCGGTACTACGCCCTCCTCCCAAACCGCGGTAATGAGCTTAAACAGATTGGCATAGAATAGGTCGCAGTTGTATTTGACCATTTCCGGTAGAATGCCGGAGCTTCCAGCAGCTTTCCCGTTCGTAAGATAGCGAAGGCAGCGCTGGGCCTCTTCAGCAGTGGGTGGGGTGGCCAGGTGTTCCATGATGTTGCGCTGCTGGACCAAGTCAATTTGACTTGACTTGGTCCAGCACACACACACACACACACACACACACACACACACACACACACACACACACACACACACACACACACACACACACACACACACACACACACACACACACACACACACACACACACACACACACACACACACACACACACACACACACACACACACACACACACACACACACACACACACACACACACACACACACACACACACACACACACACACACACACACACACACACACACACACACACACACACACACACACACACACACACACACACACACACACACACACACACACACACACACACACACACACACACACACACACACACACACACACACACACCTTGACCTTGACCTTGATACACGTTGCCTTGATAGGTTACACGGTCGCCGTCAGAGGAGAGCGGTGGAAGAGGCTGAGGAGCAGCACTTCTGATGGCATACTAGATGGTGACGTAGTCGGAACTTCCTTTGGCAAGGTTCACACACACACACACACACACACACACACACACACACACACACACACACACACACACACACACACACACACACACACACACACATACACACATCCGCACACACACACACACACACACACACACACACACACACACACACACACACACACACACACATACACACACACACACACACATACACACACACACACACACACACACAAACACACACACACACACACACACACACACACACACACACACACACACACACTGGTGCACGATGCAAACAAACAGATCGGCCATGTACACTGCACATGCAAGTGTGCGGCGAACCAAGAGTGAGTCCTCCATTGATTTCACTGCTTCCTTATTCCGATGTGCTAATGCAGGTCTGCTTGCCCTCAGCGTCCTTTATCTGCATGGTGCACGCTTGGTCAAACGCCCGCTGAACACTTCCCACAGCAACACCAGCAATACAGCACGGAATCGTGCCGCAACTCTCCACTTCGAAAATGGCGACTCTAAGTCTGACGCAGCTCGAGCATGGGGTGACGGCGAAGGCCGGACGAGCCAGTGGGTAGATATTGAGTTGCAGTGAAGAGCTACAATGCTACGTGTTCAAGTGCTTCACCAGTAGAACAGCATGCATGTCTTCAACCATGTACCCTGTGTGTGCGTGTGCGCGCGTGTATGTGTGTGTGTGTGCGTGCGTGTGTGTGTGTGTGTGTGTGCATGCGTGCATGTTGCATTGGTGTACGTGTGTGGATGTACATGTGTGTTTGTGCATATGTGTGTGTATGTGGATGTGCGTTTAAAATGGATGTGTGCCGTGGGTGGTGCAAAATCGGGCTTTCTGAGTTTTGTAGTTTTGGCAGTTGCTACCTGCCTCAAATCTTGATTTGTTTCATTCAGATCTTTCTCTGTTTTCGTTGCCATGAGACCACAGCTGATGGCATTCATCCAATTCACTTCCAGAAATGCATTCTTCTCTGGCGAATGGTTTACGACTGTACATGGTACAGGCTGGTACAGGCTGTGTGCGCGCGTGTGTGTGTGTCACTGTGTGCGTGTGTGTGTGTGTGTGTATGTGTGTGTGTGCCGGCTAGTCTTGCATCTGGAGCGCCATCAGGTGGCCTGCTCCTTCTCTCTCTGCTGCCCCTCGGGGGGGGGGGGGGGGCACAAGGCTATGGGTAATGGCTCTGCAGGACAGGACAGATGTGAGTGCGTGTGTGTGTGGGTGCGTGACCTGAGTCGTGATCTCCGTTTCTGCTCCCGACAATGACTCTGGCACCTTCCGGAGTGGTGTGGCTCTTCTGGCAACCAAGCTACAGTAGTAGTAGTAGTAGTGGGTGCGTGTGTGCGTGTGTGTGTGGGTGAGTGGGTGTATGTGTGTGTGTGGGTGTGTGGGTGGGTGGGTGCGTGTGTGTATGTGTGTGTATGTGTGTGTGTGTGTGTGTGTGTGTGTGTGTGTGTGTGTGTGTGTGTGTGTGTGTGTGTGTGTGTGTGTGTGTGTGTGCGTGTGTGTGCGCGTGAGCATGCGCGTGTGTGAGAGAGAAAGTGCCTGTGTGTGTGTGTGTGTGTGTGTGTGTGTGTGTGTGTGTGTGTGTGTGTGTATGTACGCATGTGTGTACATGTACGTGTGTTCACGTGTGCTCGTGTGGACAACGTCACTGTAGTGTGCTTAGGGGCTCAAACATGTACGCTGCGGCCTGGTTACTGGTATGCGGCTTGGGCAATTGCCAAGGCTTGATCCAATGACTATGTACTGGGTATGGGTATGGGGGGGGGGGGGGGGGGATGGTGTACTTCCAATGCCAGGACAGATTGGTACAATTTGTGATTTTTGTCCAAGAGGCTAACACTGGCCAGGCAGCATGCTCCGAACAAGCACGGCTTAACTGCACACAGTCGATGCGTACACTTACTTTTTTATCGTTACCGATAAAGAAATTCAGGCAAGCAGTCCCACTGCACTATAGTCTATAGAGCATCCACGATTGCAGAACAGACATGGCATCGTTATGACATCATTATGGCATCATGAGCCTGAATAATAGAGGATTGATGTAATGCCACTTCCACAAATCTGATGACCAAGACAGAGCTAACATGCATGGTTTATCTCTGTTACTGTTGCCACTGCATGTCCTGTCCTGTTGTCATGTGTGCTTGTTCACACCATTCACACCTTGTTTTCAGGCACATTGGTTGTGCGTGTGTGTGTGTGTGTGTGTGTGTGTGTGTGTGTGTGTGTGTGTGTGTGTGTGTGTGTGTGAAAAAGTGAAAAGTCACTTCAAATACAGTAAAACCTGTAACTAACGACCACCCCTTGGTGCCCGGAAAAGTGGTCGTTAGCATGCTAGCTAGCCAGCACAGACTGTCAGTGTGACCTGGTGTAGTGGTGAGTCTGGTGACTGATCTGTGTGATTGCACTTCGACAGAGAGCCGCTCAGTCTTAGTTTCTCCTTCGAGTAGTAACATCGATCAAAGAGCGCTTTGGATGCGCTCTCCAAGACGTTTCCTATCATGTTTGTTCTTGACAGCACTTGAAATTATGACAGGTGTAGTGCAATCCACCCTGATTCCACAGTAAAAATGAGACTGCGCTCATTTGTCCAGCTGTAGTATCGAAACGACCTTGGAAAATCATCAAAATTTCGAGAAGGAGCTTCAAGCAATGTTTGATTTGCTACATCGCGGTCGCTAGTCACGGGTCAAAATTCGACATTGGGACAAGAAAAGGCGGTCGCTGGTCGCGTTCAGCAGGTAGTCGCTAGTCACAGTGCATTTTGAATGTGAGACCGCCCGTGCCTGACAAAGTGGTCGGTAGTACCAGGCCGGTCGCTAGTCACGGTGGTCGTTAGTTACAGGTTTTACTGTAGCTGTATGGTGTAGACCAGGCTGAATAGTGACGGTCAATTCTTCAGCTTTGCAAGCTGTTGAATCGTGCAATCCCAGCACAAGTTGCTATGGCTTCTGCCGTAGCATTGCTATCATCGCCTCCGGCAATGGGCGTCAAAGGTCAGGAGCAAAGGTGTGTGTGTGTGTGTACGTGTGTCTGTTTTTGAACAAGTGTGAGTGTGGGTGTGATTCTGAGTGTGAGTGTGGGTGTGTGTCTGTGTGTTTTGGCGTGTGCGTGGGTATCATTATGTGTGTGTGTGTGGGTGGGTGTGCGTGCGCGTGTGTGTGCGTGTTTGTGTGTGTGCCTGTGCCCAAAGGATGGTGTAATGTTATCACGTGTGGTGTGGTTTCATTCCAAGTTGTGTTGCATGATATAGGTCAGCGTCACTTGTTTTTCTTCTCAATCCTGATGAGGGTTCCTGGCCGGGATTGAGATATTGTAATTTGCAGGGAAGAGACCACTTGATTTGAGGATGGTGTGTGTAGGGCTTTTCTCATACTGTAAATATACAAATTTTCGGCAGCTATTTAATTTCGGCTATATTCGGCACCGACCCAAAACGCCTAAATTAAAACGCCGATGAAATTTTTCACAGCATCTGTCGCACTGTACTAGCGCCTCTACTCCACGGCGAAAATAAATCGCCGCCGAAATGTCAAAATTCGTGAAGTGCCGAAATTTTGTATACTTACAGTATAATTATAAGTTATTGTACTTGAGTAGAAAATTAAAGTTTGCATGTGAGCAGTGGCGTGTCCAGGATTTGGCTGAGGGGGGGTTGCGGCCGGGATCAAGGCGGGATGGGGTGGGGGTAGATGACATCATGCTACTGTCCCAGGTCAGCCATTTTGAAAACCAATGTCAAGAAGCTCCTCCTGTAGCCCCTTCTTCAACAGTTATTCACCCAAACGGCCCCAGAGACTGTTCCGGAGGATCAGCGCACCACACGGGGACAAGTGTCGAACTTGCTTCAAGTTCCCTTTCTCCGTGGGACTGCGGTACGATCGAGCATGATGTTTTGGGGAAGCATTCTCTGGAACGCTCTCCCCTCTGATTTTAGAGTGATACGTGTCCCTGGTCCCTTCCGAAAAGCTCTTTCTGCCATTGATATACTTACTTTGTCCTCGTTAAACTTTTATTATCTGCCATAAATTCCAACCTTCTCATCTATCAATCATTTGTGCATGCATGTCTATAAAATCAACCACGTGTTCCTGACTCCATGAGATTGTCTTTCAATTCTTTGACTCCATGAAATTATTGTCTTTCTATTTCTGACTCCATGAAATTGTTCTTGATATAAATTTTTCCCTTTCTTCTTTTGGTCCTTTCTGTCTTATAAGTTATATTATTATTATCATTTCTTGTTTTCCCTTGCATATCATCCCTTCATCATTCTGTGAGAACCTGTCCTATGGGCAGGTGAGAAGGCATCTCTGCCTGTTCCGGCATTTGGTGAAGTAAAATAAACAACAACAACAACAACAACAACAACAACAACAACAACAACAACAACATCAACAACAACAACAACAACAACAACAACAACAACAACAACAACAACAACAACAACAACAACAACAACAACAAGCCGTAAATCTCACACACCACGAGCAGTATTTCTGTACACGCAGCAACAAAATGTACATTGTAAACTTCAAATTTGCGAGTCCAACAATTTCTCACCGCTCTCAAAGTATCCTTTACATAGGCAGCGGTACTTGTCACTGTGCGCTGTTCTTTATGTTCTGGCTGCTCGCTGACAACAGGTTCTTCCACGTCTGGCGGAGTTTGACTGTCAGTCCGCTCCGAAAGTTCAACTGGATTGTCTGGAATAACAGCGACTTCATCACTCCCACCGTTTCCTGTTGGAGCGGCAGCAGGAGTTGCGCCGCCACAGGAACGCTTTACAAAAATTCCAGGCTCTGCTGGCTAGAGCTTGGCCTTTTGGGATGTCCCTGAGACATCGAAGAAAAGCCTTCGAGTCAACCAAAACACGATTCGAACGAGGATGATCGCCTGAGCCCTCGGCATTCGAATCGTGTTTTGGTTGACTCGATCGAAGACTTTTCTTCGATGTTTGTACCGTTGAAGACGCGTCGAGCGCGTCCCAGCAGGGATCACACTGTACAACAGTACACAGTCAGGTCACCGTGTTTCTGTAGCCGGGCATGCTCACTGTACGTAGACTCTACTCTAGCTCTGTAGACTGTACAAGTACAGTGTAGACTGTAGTCTGTACAGACTGTAGTGTGTACAATCAACACCAGCTCGAGCACCGCACCGTGCAACCGCTTTTGGACAATCGTTTCAGGCCGCGCGCGCCCCGAGCCTAGTCTAGCTCGACCTGGCGCGCGCCCTAGCGCCCTGTATTATTTTTCGAAACCTAGGTCGAAATTTTTGAGGGGGGGGCGCGCGCCCCCCGCGCCCCCCCCTAAACCCGCCACTGGTGAGCGCTATCACAGGCTAACCAATTGTGTTGAGAAACACAACCAGCTAATTGAACTGCTTACAAAGTTCTGCTCGTACCACCACCGTGGCTGCGGATTATACCACTCGGTGGCGGATGCAACGCCTAGCGGCCAGGGTGAGGTAGTAAACCTCACACCCAGTGCCATGGTTATAGACAGAACAAAAGTGAAGCGGGGGGGGGGGGGGGGGAGATCATCGGACCCAAAATTTCATATTTGTGATTTTACCCCCATTTTGTGCCGCCATTTTGACCATTATTTTCACCAGTGAGCAACAGACCAACTAGTACGTCACACTACTACATGTATGTATATGTATATGTACTTCCATCGCATGTATTTATTCACCGGCCATTGGAACCCACCAGTGATAATTATTATGGTTGTCATAGGAAAGTGATGAATATGATGCAAAGACTCGTACAATGCTGTGCTAAGTTACAACATGATTATGTACTTATCATGCATATAAAAAGATCGCGCACATACCGGTACTCTGAAGGGTGGCACATTCATTTCGAAAGGGGGTCAAAGCTGTGTTGCTTTGGCAAGAACCAATGGGATTTCGGCCTTTGGCCTGTGGTTGGTGGATCTGATCTATCCTTCAAC